TGCAGTTCGTCTGCAAAGATCAAGTTCGTGTGTTCGATCCTAGCTTCGTGCAAGGATTGATTTTGTGTTTTGATAGTTTAAGTTTCAGAATGATATAATGGGAATTTATATTCTCGATTTCGTTCTGATTCAAGATTAAAGCTTAAAAAGTACAACTCGTGTACTTCAAACTGACATAGAAAACGGAGAGAGGTACATTCTAGTTGATTTTAGCTTAGTCTGTCACGTTGACAGAATATATAGTAGTTTCATAATAAGTGCAGCGAACATTTACTGGAAAATACAACTTTCTTCTTTTCTCACTTCTTCTCTCGTTTTGCTTAATAGGTTTTCCAGAAACCCTTTTAGAAAACCTCAGGGTTTTTTAAAATTTTAAAATTAAAAAAAACAACAACCTATTAAGCAAAATATGTTTTTCGATTTCTTCGCTCTTATAATCTCGTTTTGCTTAAAAACAAAAATTTTAGTAGAATAATTTTAATTTAAAATTTTTGACTTAGAAACTTTTAAAAAAATAATAAAGTTTAAAAATTTACGCCATTCGATACGAAATTAAATTTTCGACAACATGGTTCAATTTTTTCGACAATTCGACTTTAGGAACAAAACTTGCCTTTTCGATCTTTCAGGGTTCCAGTCAAGTTTAAAAGCCTGAAAAAGTTTTTCAACTTTATTTTTCACATAAATCGATGGAATACCACCAAACCTACGGGAAATATAAAAATCAAGTTTTTGGAGGATATTATATTCCTGAATATTCGATTCATTGACAAAAAGTGTGTCATGCTGCCATATTTATTTACTAACATTTTTAAGCGAGGGAACGGCTTTAGAAGAAAATTTTTTCGATATTGGATAGCTCGTACGCTTCGCTAAAATGTTCACTCTAGATAGTTTCCATTTGCTCAAGGAAAATGGCGATTAATTGGATGTACACGCAATCTGGGACCTTTTTTTGTCATGTTCCCCACGCACCGAATATTCCTTCGCAAAGGCGTAATTATTACTCAAATTTTCTCATATTTTTTACCAAGGACAGGGAACAGTGAACTGCATAAAATGGCGGTAGAATCATCCTTCTACCTCTTAGTGATTCTCAATTTTTATAAAAATTACATGTCGAAAATGTCACGCTGTTACGCTTGAACAAGCCGCTGGGTTCTCGTTGATAAAAGTTTTTAGTTGCAGAAAACGGTTTTTTAATTAAAATTTACTGTTGTGAAAAGGCTGGGTCGTGTTTTTTAAACAAATATAAGCGCTGATTCTGAAGAAAATTTCACATAAGTTTTCTTAAAAAATTAGATATCTGAGTGTAAAATGTGTCTTTTGACAATCGGTTTTGAAACTTCATTGCGAAAATTTCTTTGTTCAGTCCGAGATAACACTGATATTTATTTTCATCATATTTAAATATTTTCTCGCATTTTTATTGAATAGTGTATTGACATTAACAGATAATGTAATATCATGAATAGTTTCACTTGTCCAGCATCCCGAAGTTAATTTTCACGTAAGTTTGATTTTGTTTATCTGAAACAGTTTTAAATTCAACATTACCATATTTTCTTTTTGTTTTGAAAAGTATCTTCTAGGTTTAGCATTCTATCCATTTGCACTATTGACCGATATTCCGATGGAAGATTGTGTTGTATCATTGAATTTGATTAGAATAAAAATAAGTTTAAATGAGGCAATGTTTGGAGCCCTAGTGAATGTACTAAAGTGTTCTGAGTACCCATGAGTGAGTAATGAGTACTATAGCTACAACTTTGAGTACTCATGGTTGCGTTTTGTTGAGTACTCATATAATTTTTTGGCAATACTCATGAGTATTGTTCATCTGGTATTTTCCTACAGAGGAGTGGTCTCAGGCAGTCAGGGTTGAACTACAAATCTATTCACAGACGAGTACATCTGTGACTATATACACAGAGGCCAGCGAGAAAAAAAGTAATATAAATATTCTATGTTTCTTTACTAAATTCTATGTTCTTATACAGTTTCATTTTTTGCAAAATACAATACTGAGTGAATATTTTCTGAGTACTCACTGATTAAAAGTGCTCAAAAATTGTTAGTAGAACCCATGGCTTCTCACGGACAAATTATGAGTAAAGTCGTACTCATAGTATGAATACTTTCGTTAGGGAGGATGATCGGCTAATATTTTAGTTGAAATCTTTTTTTCCCTAATCAAGTTTACTGCCTACACAAAATTAGCAGCCATAAAGAGTCTTCGTGAACAATTACAAAACTACTTTCGATCTATATAGAAATGGTACATTGAAATGGAATGGAACAACACCTATGTTATGGAATGTAAGTTTCTATTTTTTACTTTTCTCCTCTACAAAACTCTTTCTTTGACTTGAAAATATAGAAATGTTCATAATTTTACACTCGTGTTATTATTTCTGTTAAATTTTTCGCTTAAAACGGCTTTTTTTTTGTTAAATCTTTTTAGGACAGATCATTTGTTATCTTAACCTATAGTATATCTGGTTTTGCTAATTTTGGTGCAGTTGGACAAATACTAGCTTTGCTCAGTACAATGGCACTAGATCGTAAAGCAACATTCACAAAAACAGCATTGAGAACATTAATTGCAGCAAATATGATCTCACTCACGGGAGCGTGTATAGCAGGTAATTCTATAATACGTGGTTGGTTCAAAACTATATTTTTGGTTTTGGTGTTTCAGGCCTTTTATACGATCCAGCAAGAAAATAATAAAATACCTTTTTTGTATATTTTTAAAATGAAATCGAATATTTCTTTGTTATAAATAATGAACGAACGCATCAATAATAAGTTCGTCGAATGTTTTTCGTTCGTCTTGCTGGTATCCGATGTAAAGTGTTGAAAATGAGCTGAAATTCTACTTTTCCCAAAACATAGTTGTTTTTTGCGCTTTTTGCGTATTTAGACAATTTTCGGCTACTTTTAGTATTTTCAATCATAGCACACAAGATGAACTACACCAAATACTTATTGCATAGAATCTAATTTCACCCTCTCTTATTTAAAGCCAAAATCATCTTTACGGAAATGTGCAGTATGGAGAAAAACTCATCAGCACGTTAAATGGTGAAGAAATTCACGTATTCTCAATTACTAAATCCTGGGAGTTTTATTTCATTGCATTTTCTATGAGTAGAGAAATTGTTGTTGGTAGAAATGGAAATTATCTTTAGATTTGATTTGGCTTATAACTCTGTCTTAGCCAAATCTTTGTACTTCAAGGTGCGTTCTGTACCGTTATTATGGTGTAATCGAGCTTGAATAAGTCAATTTGATTTAAATTTTCCATCCGAAGAAGGTAAATAATCAATCTTTATTCAGTACAGATAATTGTTTTGGTGAAATTGTATAATCGGACGCAACAGTTTTTGTACTGTACTGACAATATAGAACTGGCTAGTCGAACACATTCTTTTAGTTAACAGAATTAAAATAATAACATTTGTTCCAAACCATCGGTGCCAAGCTGAGTTATTAGAAAAGAGCCTGAGAACTTTGCCCAATATTTACCTTCAGCTCACTCTAATCTATATGTGCATCTTTTTCATGCACATGATGTTAAAAAGAAATCACAAAATCGAGTGAAACTGCTAGTGATCTTTGTGTTTTGACTCTTATGTACTACTCAAATGTCGACACATACATGTTTTCATTTCAATATCCACACTTTATGCGATGCAGATTGGAGCAATCAAATAGTAAAACAGCAGAATAGAATAGCAGAGACATCAAATATTGGTACATTATGAGTGGAGAAAAAATCATGTCGACGTTCATTTTCTAATGTGCCGTATGTTGAGGTCGATTATTGAACTACAAACAATACAAGCCGAACATAGAATCTCTGGGATAATAGCTTAAATCAAATTATTGAATTTCTCTTGTGACTGTTCGTATCCTCGAACTGTTAAACATTTCGGCACCCGTGTCAACATTTATTGATAAGATCGAAAGTAAGCCAAACTAAATGAATACGACTAATTGAAATATCAATAGCAGCGTGTCGAATGGAGTCGCAGTGGTCCTTAGGGATATAAACTCAGTGTGGTATCAACAACAGTTTTTCTTTGATAAAAAACAAATCGATACCATGAATAGCAAATCGGTCTATTTTTCAAGTTCTGGTTAACCAAGAAAAAAATGTCTTGCTATTTCGTTAGTATTTGATTGTCGTACACATGAACAGTTTTATAGCATCAGTTATCGATATATTGGATAAATCAGCGACGAGCACTGACACATAACTTTCAAATATTTCTAGTCACAATGATTTAATATGTACTATAGAAGTGTTTAAACCTTCGTTATAAGTGTACAACCAATGTCGAATGATATGAAAATAAAATGTCGTATTCGGCAAGAGGAAAAGGCAGGTCCGGATTATGGGACAACAAAACATAGTTAAGTTACATGAAGCTCCTGTTAAGTTTTAGGAAGTCTATACTCTAATAGAATTTTTGTCCAATTGATCGTAATCATGTTATCACGGATATTTTGAACGTTCATAACACTTATCACAATGATATACAATTTACATACGAAAAGGAAACCAATAATATGATTTTGTTTCTGAATGTCCTAATTTCTCATCAGCAGCATATATTCACTACATCTATATAGAAAGAAAAGCGTGCGGTATTGGTGATTAATTGAAGATCTTTTGTTCCTTTGAGCTGTAAGGTACGGCGACTCGGTGTATGATATATCGCGCTCTGGGCATTTGCTTCTTCTACAAACTGTTACATGTTGCGCTAGGAAACAATGAAAAAGAAAGCTAAATGTTATGCTGAAAACAGTGGTTTGTTGGACATCGTCCATGAAAGTGGCTGGTTAGCAATAGTGGCGGAGCCAGGAGTTTGATCTAGAGGGGCTCAGTCCAGAAATTTTCTAAACTCCGTCAGAGCTAAACTCATTTAAATTTAATGCTCGAAATCTATAAATTTTTTAAAGGGGGCTCCGCCCCCTCTCGTCCATAGCTGGCTCCGCCACTAGTTAGCAAACCTTTCTAGACAAAATCGGAACTTTTTCAGTGATATTAAAACGGTAAAAACAGTATTGAATGCTGTTCGTGCTGGTACGTTTTTATCTGTGAGGGATATCGCTGTGGTAGTATACGGTGATCTTGAAATCTACTATACGTCGATGCCAAAAAGAGGTATGAATCATATCTCACTGACGCTCTAACGAAATCAGCAAAAAATCCCCCAAAACTCGTTGATACTTGGTCTATATACAGCATGATCCAAAAGTCACCCTCAGTTGCGATTTTTCGAACACTTCCAAGCAACCTAAAAGTCTGGGTTTAGTCTCATTCGACAGAGATTTAAATTCTCTACAAATCTAATATTTAAATCTCCGATAGCATTTTTCTCGTTTGAGCATCGAGCTGCGTCGTGCCGTTGTCGTCTTCTTTTTTTGAGATTTTTTGCCGATTCTCTAAGGTTCAATATTCAATTTTTCTACGCAGATAGATAGAGAATTTTATGCTCTATCGGCCTCACTCATTTATAACTCCATACAATGTTTTTGCTAAGTCAACTAGACGCATAATTAGTTCTTAACCGGCTTTTCAATTTTTTCAGATTAAATTAATTTTCTACTTTATGGTTTCAATTGAGAAATTGTGTTTATATTTCAAAAGATGCAGAATTTAATTCTGTGTAAAACAACAAGACTAAAACCCTGGATTCAGAACGTTTTACTGCTTTTATAGTTGAAAAACTAACGTTTGCGAAAAATAGGTTCAAAAGTTAGGTTGTTTGTAGATTTATCAGCTTTTTGCACAGAGAGATTTTCCTGGAAGACTTAACTGCAAAATTTCCAAAACCATGTGGGAAGATGCAGAATTTTCCAGTGAGTGAGTCTTCTGATATTTTCAAAGTTCTTATGGAATGCATTTTCGGATCCAGGCAAATATTTTTCTATTTCCATTGCGTTGCAATTCGTCATCTCAACTTCATTCAAAATATTGAAAGATGCTCAAACGAGAAAAATGCTATCGGAGAGTTAAACATCAGATTTGTAGAGAATTTAAGTCTCTACCGAACGAGACTAAACCCAGATTTTTAGGTCGCTCGAAAGTGTTCCAAAAATCACAACCAACCGCTGCCGGTGGCTTTTGGATCACCCTGTATATTGGAAAAATCAATTTTGTCTGTATCTGTGACTTAATCAGATTTTATTTAAAGTGCAAACAAAAGCAGCATTATACACTATCAAAAATGAATAAGTATTAGCAGAAAAAAGAAAAAAAGAACAAATAACCGATAGTATATATTAATTGTGCATTGGTGAAAATTTATCCACAACCCAGCCAAAATTCATTCATCACCAGTTAGTCTAATTCATCAACACATTCGGCAGAATTTTGCAAACTGTTCGAGGTTTTTATCAAAATTTCGCCAAGTCAAACAGAATTATGCAGAATATTCTCACAACTGTCACAGATTTCGCAAAATTTTGTCGAAGACCATTGGCACCAGTTAGTTATTATATAAAGTTTACAGCCACTAACGTCCAGTTTTTCCAATCTTGTACAGAAAAAATGAAAATGGGTTAGTCAGTTTCGCGTGTTTGTCAAAAATTATCTGTCAGAAAGAGTTGAAAAAACGATTTGGTCAACAGCGTATATTAAATGTGTGAGCGAGGTATGGATGTTTAGGAAGATGAATGTGAATTTGTGTTAGAAACGAATTACCAAGTGCGAAGAATTCATCGTATTTATAGAGAATGCGGTCTAGTTATGTCAGCCGAACGAAAAAAATGTTTCCTCCTCGGCATTAAAGATATTTTGAATTAGAATTACTGATCATTCGCTAACTTTTCACGGGCTATTTGAAGCATGTCTTCAGTTTCTTTTACCTCACTTATCCGCAGCAATAAACGGATAACGAACGCATTCTGGTATGCTTTCCACCATCGCAACAAAAATAAGTTCATTGTTTTATTTTGTACAACACAAAGGGTGTCCAGTCACAAATACGAATATAAAAAGTAACAAGTTTTCATAAAGAAGGTCTCCCGTCAAACAGAAGATTCCCATCAATAACGCTCGTAACACCTTGTTCCTCTAGTAATACTATTATTAACTGTTTGTTCTTGCGTATTGAATTTCCGCGGAAGATTCGAATGTCGACTAATAACATCACTTCTGAATACATATCGAACGCATTCATCGAAGGCTAACAAAAGTTCACTTCGAAATGTTTTGGATGTGAGAGTATAAACACAGAACCCACTTGCACAATTAATATACTCAAGAAAATATGCCAGAATCAAAATGAATGTTGTCAAATCATTTAGCGTTACATATCTTGAATAAATTAGCATAACAGCCACTGGTGTCGTTAGAAGGATATAAATACACACTTGAAACAACAACATTATCATCATTTGTTTATCACGTTGCCTAACACGCGCAACATTCATCGTTGTGGATACAATTTGTCGGCGAAGTGAACGAACATTGGACAGTGTTAAGAGGCCAAATACAGTCATTAATATCGGCGGTATAAGGCATGTGCAGATCATATAATAAATGCCGAAAAAAGCCGTGTAATGAACATCAGTTGCCGAGCATATCGTTCCCCAAAAACCATAGTTAATAAGATCAAAGTAAATAGGAACGTGTATGTACAATACCACACCAGTAAGAATTGTGCTTGGTATTGTGTATTTGGCTACAGATACCTGACTGAACTGTCGATGTT